CGCAATCTAAAACCATCTCTATCTATTGGACCGGATGGAATATGTGCCTACTTCTTAAAAAAGCTATCCACTGCCATAGCCGAACCTCTAAGCATAATCTTTGAAAAATCTTTCAGGACCAGCTCCTTGCCTAACCTATGGTCACAAGCCACGGTCATCCCCATCTTCAAAAAGGGAGACCCCAGCCTAGTTGAAAATTACAGACCAATCTCCTTATGCTGCGTCACCTGTAAAGTCATGGAATCAATTATTAACCAATCCATCATCCTCCACTTAGAGAAAAACAACCTACTCTCCAATAAACAATTTGGTTTCAGGAAAAAACTATTCTGTAATCTGCAACTGTTACACTGCAAAAACATGGACTACACAACTCGATCAGGGCAAAGCAATAGACGCAATTACATAGACTTCTGTAAAGCCTTTGATTCAGTGATACACGACAAACTACTCCTAAAACTAAAATCTTATGGTATCTCTGGACAACTGCATAACTGGATAGAAGCATTCCTGTCAAACAGACAACAAATGGTCAAAATTGGGAGTGTCCTATCAAATTCTGTACCTGTCAATAGTGGTGTCCCCCAAGGCAGTGTTATAGGACCAACTCTCTTCATACTCTACATAAATGACCTCTGTGATCATATTAAGAGCAATTGCGTTCTTTTCGCTGATGATGTAAAGCTGTTCAATACCACAGACAATACTGCTACCCTTCAAAAAGATCTTGGCTATGTATCAGAATGGTCAAACAAATGGCAACTTCAAATCTCAACAAATAAATGCTCTGTCTTACATATTGGCAAAAAAAATCAGAAAATAAAATACAAGCTGAATAGTCAAGATCTTGTTGATGACCCAAGCTCTGTAAAGGACCTTGGAATACTCACCTCTAATGATCTAAGTGCTAGAGCCCACTGTAACTACATAGCCAAAAAGGCATTAAGAGTTGTTAACCTAATCCTACGTAGCTTCTTCTCTGTAATATCACACTACTAACTAGAGCATACAAAACATTTGCTAGACCAATACTCGAATACAGCTCATCAGTCTGGAACCCTACATTACGTATCTGATATTAGCACAGTTGACAAAGTCCAGAAATATTTCACAAGAAGAATTCTCCACTCCTCTACTCGTTGTAGAATACCTTATGCCACCAGACGTGAAATTCTAGACCTAGAAAACCTTGAATTATGCCGTCTTCGGTCTGATCTAAGTATGGTATATAAAATCATACATTGCAATGTCCTACCTGTCAATGAATACTTCAGCTTCAACCATAACAACACAAGAGCACACAATAGATACAAACTCAAGGTTAACCGCACCAAACTTGATTGCAGGAAATATGACTTCAGCAACAGAGTAGTCAATGTCTGGAATACTCTACCTGACTCTGTAGTTTCTTCCCCAAACCCCAAAAACTTTAACCTTAGACTGTCTACTATTGACCTCACCCCTTTCCTAAGAGGCCTGTAGGGGGCGTGCATAAGCGCACCAACGTGCCTACCGTCCCTGTCCTATTGTTTCTTTTATTTTTCTTATATGTACCCATTATCTTGTAAGCAATTGACAAATCAAATAAATAAATAAAATAAATAAATAAAATAAATAAAAATAAAGAATATTTAAAGACTAGCTCTATACCCGTGCTTCACTACGAAGCTATGTGGTCAGGTTTAGTTTTTGGGGAAGAAAATAATGGGGGAAAAAATCTGCCTCTGCCTACCAGCATCCATTGGTATTCATCTGGCTAGCGTCCTGTCAGTTTGTGGGAGAGTTGAGGGCTGTTTGGAAACTGAAACAGTATATGCTGTGTGAGCAAGAAGGAGACAACAAGGAGCCTGGGCGTGGCTTAGCTCAACTGTTCTGTACTAAAGCTGCTGGGTGGTGTGAAACTGAAACGCCTCTCCTCTGCTTGTGTTTTGCATTTGGAAGAGATTTCTTTTCAGGTGGGGAGGGGGAGTAGAACTCCTTAGCATCAGAGTGTGTTAATAATAATATATGAAATACTAATGCTCTGATGGTCATTTCGAAAAATCCTTTCTTAGTGAGCACCTAGAAGTCAAGAGGAACATATGTTCCAAATTTCAAGTTTGTAGGCTTCTGGAGATTTTGTGATGATGCGTGAGTGGTATTTCGCTTTTATATATATAGATTTGAGTGGCTGACAGTTAGGGCACTTCAGGGTACAGGCCATATTCATCTATAATTCCCTATATCTTAAAAATCTCCCATATGAGGCTTCCTTATTTCATCAAAGGCTTTCTTTTCCCAAACTTTTAGGGATGTCATCTCGTATAAAGCTGTGGTCTTTTGGAGGTTCTGATTTTTGTTTCCGCGTTTAATCATTCTGTTTGTTTTCTTGTAAACTCCCTTGGGAATACAGATTGGAGAATGACACCTATAATAACTGTAATACATATTAATAATTTATCCAGTTCAGGAGTGAGAACCATAACTGTGAAATTAGATTTGCTCAGTAACAAAGGAGGTTTTAATCAAAATAGTTGGCTTGGTTCCCAAGCTCTTAAAATATGGCCACCTCAATACCATCCGGCACTAAATGAGCTGGAGATGCCACAGATTTGTGGTCTCCACTGTGGCACCATAGAGTGAAGGCCAGAAATAAGGTTTCCTTTTTTTGCTGCAGCACCCCAAATGGGCTCTCAAAGGTCCTTTTTTTTCAAAAGGCAGCTGGACTTCGTTTTTTTCCTTGAGACATTTTGCTCCTCATCCAAGAAGCTTCCTCAGTCCTAACTGATTGATTCCGTTTACTCAGAACTGAGGAAGCTTCTTGGATGAGAAGCAAAACGTTTTCCTCACGGAAGGAACACCTCTATAACTTTCTGGTGTGGTTCTGCAACCCAACAGGACAGACATAGACTTCAGAGGATAATTAGGACTGCAGGAAAAAAAAAAGATTGCTACCAACCTGCCTTCCATCGAGGACCTGTATACTGCACGAGTCAAAAAGAGGGCTGTGAAAATATTTACAGACCCCTCACATCCTAGACATAAACTGTTTCAACTCCTTCCCTCAAAACGACGCTATAGAGCACTGCACACCAGAGCCACTAGACACAAGGACAGTTTTTCCCCGAACACCATCACTCTGCTAAACAAATAATTCCCTCAACACTGTCCAACTATTTACAAAGTCTGCACTACTATTACTATTAATCTTCTCATCACTCCTTATTGCACATCCCCTCCCACTTGTGACTATATGACTGTAACTTTGCCGCTTGTATCCTTACGATCTATATTGACTGCTTCTTAGTATGATTTGATTGCTTTTTGTACCCTATGACTATCATTAAGTGTTGTACCTGATAATTCTTGACGAATGTATCTTTTATTTTTATGGACACTGAGAGCTTATGCCCCAACATACATTCCTTGTGTGTCCAATCACACTTGCCCAATAAAGAATTCTATTCTATTCTAAAATGCCAACCGTGACCTGGATGACTGAGAATCATCACAGACACTGCAAATGTGGCACCTTCTGAGAAAGTACAATCCGCTCCACGCAGTCTTATTTTCAAGGATAAGATGGTTGTTCTTTTGCTTGTTTGTTTGTTTGTTTGATTGATTGATTAAACTTATTTGCTGCCCCCAACTTACCTCATATAGCCTTCCAGTTGCCTCCAGGAGAAATAGCAAAACAGGGCATCCTACACTTATGACCTCAGTTGAGCCTAAATTTCTTTTGCTCAATGAGACCCTGGTCAAGTGAATTTTGCCCCCATTTTGCGACTTTTCTTGCCACAGACGTTCAGTGAATACCTGCAGTTGTGAAGTTGGTAACAAGGTTGTTAAGTGAATCTGGCTTCCCCATTGACTTTGCTGGTCAGGAGGTCGCAAAAGGGGATCACAGGACCCCCGGGACGCTGCAACAGTCATAAGTATGAGTCAGATGCCAAGCGTCTGAATTTTGATCACGTGACCATGGGGATGGTCATAAGTGTGGGAAAAGGTCATAGGTCCCTTTTTTTTTTTAGTGCTGTTGTAACTTCAAACGAACTGTTGTAAGTTGAGGACTCCCTGTATACCTCAAAACAGATATTGAAATTCACGTCTTCTGAATGTGGCTCTTGTTCTGTCTTTTTGGTCAGGTGGAAGCCGGGCACCAGTGGTATCTTCAAGTGATCTACGTCATTGGTCCCGAGATGATTGGGGGCTCCCGGATGCCACGTTCCGTGGTCCATCACCTGAAGCGCGGCCGCCGAGATCTTGTGGACCACAAGGGCCTCCCCATTCTGGATGACTCCTTGATCTACGACAACGAGGGAGATCAAATCAAGAACGGCACCAACATGAAGTCTCTCAGCCTGGAGCAGCAGGACGCCATCAGTGTGGCCTCTCTCTCTCAGACGGGAGCTTCCATCGGCAGCGGCTTTGCGGCCGTCCTGCTCTTTGTCCTCGTCCTCTTGTCCGTCTGCTTTGTCACCAGGAAGTGTCGGAAGCATCGGAAGAAGAAGAAGAAGAAAGCGGCCAAAGAGATTGCAGAGCAGTACCCTCTCAACACTCAAGTTGAGGCAGCCAAGCGGTACGCCGAGACCCTGGAGAAGAACGTCAGTGGACATTACTGCACGGTGAAGAACCTCAATCTCCTGTGTGAAAACGAAGGCGCCTACAAGGTCAGGGGGGCGAAGGTCAAACAGATGAACTTGGAAGTGAAAGTTCATAACAATTTACACGATGGGACCGAAGTTTAATGGCCCTGCGCCTTTGGAATAGAGGGAAGAAATTTATATATATATATTAAAAAAAATGGGGAGGAAGAGGAGAAACCTTCTATAATTTGTTTTCTAAAAACTTCCCATTCTGGTATTTTTATAGTGGTCTTCTAGCGGGAAAAGGGAAGAACAAAATCTTTGCATTTTGTTTGCTTAAGCCAGAGGTCTCCAAACATGACCGCTTTAAAATCCATGGACTTCAACTCCCAGAATTACTCAGACAGATGGCCATGTTGGCTGAGGAATTCTGGTAGTTGAAGTCCACCAAGTTGCCAAGGTTGGAGCGCACCCCCCTCCTGGCTTAAGCAATGATCAAGCAAGGTAATCTTTGCAGGCTTCCACTCTACCAAGGAGCTACCTCAATGAAAGCCAAACCACCCGAGGAGAGGAAGGACCGAAACGCATCTCGTAAAAGCCGCCATGGAGGGCCAGGGCCACGCACCAATTGTGTGACAGTTTCCCAGACCTCTTCTGTTGTTAGCCTGTTGAATTCTCTTTGCAGAACTGGTTGAATTAAAAAACAAACAAACAAAGATGCCTTGCTCGTATCTACTTCAGAGGTAGAAGAAGCACAATGCGGAAATTACGTATGGGACAACAGGATGAACCTGGATTTCCCCAATTCAGTTGACGGACAAAGGATGGGCACTTCCAATGAGGCCTTGGTTAGACAGTTTGTATTAACTTACTTCTGTGGGAAGCCCTTTCAGCCCAGTTTCTCCAGATGGAAGGATGAAACAATGGATTCCCTTTGAAACACAGATGCCTTGAGAACCACAAGGGTCTCTATCAGACTCATGGAATTTTGGTGGACCAACAGATCCATGGACACAGTGGTGGAAATAATGCCAATATGGGTGTTCCAAGCTTAGTTGACTGATGAAAGATTGGCAGTTCCAGTGATGCCTTGTTTGGACCGCTTGTATTAATTTTTGTATTAGCTTTTGGTCACCACGCTATAAAAAAGAGGTTGAGACTCTAGAAAGAGTGCAAAGAAGAGCAACCAGGAGGATTAGGGGACTGGAGGCTAGAACATACCATGAACGGTTGCAGGAACTGGGCTTGGCTAGTCTAGTAAAGAGAAGGACCAGGGGATACAGGAGAGCAGTCTTCCAATATTTGAGGGGCTGCCACAGAGAGGAAGGGGTCCAGCTATTCTCCAAAGCACCGGAAGGCCAGACAAGGAACAATGGATGGAAGCTGATCAAGGAGAGACTCAACCTAGAAATAAGGAGGAATTTTCTGACAGAACAATCAACCCATGGAACAGAAGTTGCCTTCAGAAGTTGTGGGATTTTCATCCCTGGAAGCTTTCAAGAAGAGACTGGACTGCCATTTGTCAGAAATGGTGTAAGCGGATTGGACTAGATCAAGGGTGGGATCCGACCAGTGTAACTACCGGTTCAATGATTTTACATTTTGCGCGCATGTGCGCCTGACGTAAGAAACTTTTTGTAGATCCATTTTCAAGTGCACACTTTAAATCTTTAAAGAGGCAACACCTAAGTTATGATGAAGTGTTTTGGATGAATTGCATGAACTGGCTGAAAGAAATAAGAGAGCCATTTTTTTCTCTCATTGTCCATTCTTGTTCCACTTTATTTTGAAATATCTGCTATATGATTCCCTTTTTTTTGTCCTAAATGCAGATTTTTAAAAATATTCTTTTAGAAAATAGGTAGTACTTTGGAACTGAAAATCACCGGTGCCAAAATTGTTGCTCAACTTAGTTTATAATGCTGTCTAGGAATCCTTCTTTGTATCGGCATAATTTAATCCAGAAACCTAGTGTGGTATAAAGCAGCAAATAACTCATGTTCTGCGTAGAAATCTAATTCAGTAGACTTCGTAGACCTGGAGTGTCTAACTTTGGCAACTTTAAGACCTATGGACTTCAATTACCAGAATTCCCCAGCTAGCATGGGAAACTGGCTAGGGAATTCTGGGAGTTGAAGTCCACAGGTCTTAAAGTTGCCAAATTCCCTAGCATAAACACTTGATTTAAGCCAGCTGGCCCAATCATTTTACACATTGAATGCTCTCCTGGATTTTGGTACATCACACGGATTATGCAAATGTTTGAATAATTCACAAGCTCCTAACTCTCCAAAGCCACATTACCCAAATCACTTAGCAAAGCTCGTTCAGGATAAAATGAATCTTAATTTTGAAGGCATGTGGCGATACTTGCAAACCTGGTTCCAAGTGCCAAAAACAACCTGATTATACACGTGCAATAAACTGGTTTTCCCTATAATTTCATGTCTTCTCAGAGTGCTAGATTTAACCTTGCATTCTGTTTACCAGCGAATTTAAATTTATTAGGTACAAAATTGGAGAAGGCAGCAGGATCTTTGCAATTATCTGATGGAAAACAACCAACTCACCATGTACATCAAAACAAGATTGCTTTCTCATAACACTAATGATGTCTCTGAGCTGCCCCATGCGATTTGCATACATGTTTATTAATGCGGGAAGAGAATCCTGTTAAAATTCTTCCTGGTCCTATATTGACATGACAAGCCATTGTGTCATAAGAGGAAAGCATCCTAAAGGGACAGAACTTGAGTTGATAATTATCTGCTTTCTCATTTCTTTTTATCTGCTGTCTTCAAGGTAAGGTTTTCTGCCACCAATATAGCAAAACAACTCTCTCTTCTTCTTGTTGACCTTATTACAGGTATAGTCCTCGACTTACAATCACAATTGAGCCCAACATTTCTGCTGCTAAGGGAGACATTTGTTAAGCGAATCGTGCCGCATTTTACGAGCTTCCTCGCCACAGACCATGGGGATGCTCCAACGGTCATTAAGTGTGAAAAAGGGTGCTACGTCACTTTTTTTCAGTGGTGGTATAACTTTGAAATGAGCCGTTGTAAGTCGAGGACTATCTGCATGGTCACAAAAAGTGGGTGCTGGTCATTGAGTAGAAGCAGGCATTTCTTCCCTACAGTCACTGAGTGTTCAATCCAACAACTGGAGTTTCTACTAACTAGTAGAACAGACCTGAGCATTTTATGGTTCCCAAGCCACATCCAGTCCCATGGCTATTCTTGTCTGGTCGAAGCGGATTGCTTTTATTTGGAAGGAAACTGCCATTTCTCCCCCCACCCCCCAATCTTACATATATGAGCGCAAGGCCATGTGCCTTATAGTTCAGTTTTCCACAACAGTTCCAGTTTTTCACGTGGCCTCTTGGGAAAATTAGTTGCCCACCCTTTTTATTTAGAATATTCCTCCACTTCAGAAGTTTTCCTTGGTTTCTATGCCCAGTGTAAATTGAATAAGCATCCTTCATTTTCAAAGATATTTTTGTGTGTGTGTGTGTGTGTGTGTGATAGCACACACAGAGGGATGTAGGTATGGTGTGGTGCAAATGGGAATTAGCCGTGGTGTGGGACCTCCATGGAAATGAATCGGAAAACAATTGACTTTGTGAAGTTGACTTTGTGTGAATCTTCACAGAAACTGCCCAGGCTTTCTGTGTCAGGAAGGGAAAATCTGGGATAATAAATCACAAACCGGTGTTTCCTATGGAATACGGATATTTACACTGATTTGTATTGGTAGAGTGCTGTTCAGCTCAGGGAATCCAGCCGCCCTTGCGATATATGAGAATAAGCCCTTCAGATGGAAAAGCTCGGTGGGTATCTAAAGTTCTTGTGCCCCCATTAAATGCCTAGATTTGGCTCTGGAAAATGCAAACGCCGATGGGAACCAGCTTTGGAGGCTTTGCTTCTCCGCGAAGTTCGTGGATGATCTCGAACCAGTCGAATTCCCTCCACGGGAGTTTCCTAAGGTTAGGAGATGCCAATGCAGTCTCCGTGGTAAATATTGCAGGATGAAAATACAATATACACAGGCTTTGTTGTCATTCTGGACAATTGTTTGTGCCAAATTATTATCCCAAACAGCCAACGTGCTCCAGGAACGAGATTGGCTGGGTCACTTGTAAGTTTTGAGGAGCCTACCCGAAAGGTACAACATTTAGTGTCACATAGGTTAGTATTTGTAAAAATAAATAAATATGACAGTGTTGTAACAGCAAGATACGGGAGCACCTCAGCTGTTTCCTATGCTGCCTGAAGGCATCTATTATAAGTGTTAGCGCTGACATGGCAGACCAGCAAATCTGCCTTCTCTGGATTATAGACTATAATTGTCCTCTTGTTTTTCATGGCACACTGTCCTTCCAGAAAGTTCTTCTGGTGCCCCAAAGTGACTTCATCTGGTGCTGTCAACCGTGTTTCCTCGAACCTCAATAATGTTCTGTATTTCAGAGCATCAGTCTACTTATTATTCCCATGATGCCTTTCTGTTGTTGCCTTTGCTAATAAACCACCTTTGGTTACTTTTTAATAAAAACTGCCTTCGGCCTGCAGGATTTCTTCCTTTTTTTTCCTTTTCAAAAAAGCAGTTCTAAGGTTGAACCCTGGCACCCTTTAGCACAGGGGTGTCAAACTCAAGGCCCCGGGGCCTCGATACGGTCTGTGGGGTGCTTAGATCTGGCCTGCAGGCCAGCCCTGGAAACAGCAAAGGGACCGGCCCACGGTGCCTCTGCCAGAGAAAACAGAGCTGGCTTACCCAGGCTCCGTTTTCAGCCGCGATGGCCTCCTGCAGCCCTCTGCCAACAAACATGGAGCTCAGGGAGGCCGCACACAGACTGCCTGGGGTACATTTTGGGCTGCGACAGCCTCCTGCAGCCCTCTCTGCCAGCGAAAACAGAGGCTGGGTGGACCGCGTGCAGCCTCCACGAACTCTTGTTTTCACTGGCAGAGAGGGCTACAGGAGGCCCTCACAGCCAAAAATGGAGCTGTGATAAGTGACGTTGAGTTGGCCATGCCTCTGGCTGCCACCACCCTGCCCCATTCCTCCAGGTCAAACACAACCCTGATGCGGCCCTCAGTGAAATCGAGTTTTGACACCCCTGCTTTAACGTAATGTAGGAGAAGACATTAACAACCTTGAATGCTGTT